CAGTGCATCATGGGCAGTGAAATCAACAGCTGTTCACTTCGAAACACGTGTAATCGGAAACTGCTACGGCGATCATGCTTGGATTAGTTTTAACAGAGCATATAAATCACGATTTATATATCGCTGGTGATTTATATGCTCTGGTTTTAATACAAATTGTTAGTTCACGAACTTATTTACACACGAATAATCACGAAGGCACAGAAATACATCATAAATGTTATTTCAAGGTTATAATTATTGTGTCTATTGTGCATTGCCGAAACGCTATGACAGACTTACGCATCCGCAAACACGCACGCGTAAATACACGCAGACGCGCACACGTGAAAGCACACGTACACGCACGTGTACGTACATGCAAACGCAAAGGCAAAACGGACGCGTTCGCACGCACAGACGCACGCACTTACTCACTTATCTTCCATTCGCCAATAGAAGTGAAAAAAATTACAATCAATCCAAGAAAAAATCTATATATAAAATTGGAATTGGAATTCGAATATAAACCTTACATTTTACTGAATATTATCTATTGATCATAATTATTATCTGAATATTATTCTACTGGCACGATGGAAAACGGACATATTTTACGGATTTTTTCGGCGATAGGCGGCAGCACCATGCAGTAGAACAATCCTCACCACATTCTAGCACATGTGATGAGATTGCAGCACAATCACACGGAGCGGGCCAATATTCTAAGAAAAATAATTGCAGATTACAATAGTGATTTCTTATGTACGCAGAGCATATAAATACCCCGACGCTGCAAGAAGTGCTATTCAACCACTATTCCAACAGGATTCGTAGCAGACCTAACGGAAATCACACCCTACTCGGTACTGAACTGGTCAATAGCAGTTCAGTCAGAACAGTCAGCATATCTCGCCAAATATGTTGAATTTTTCTCTAACGCCAAAATCACTTGAAACGCGAGTGCGTTCCTCAATAACAGCGTCAGTAGCTATTCACATAGATAACACACATCGCTGTGACACACCAACCGTCTAGCATCTATTGTTACGTGTACGTGCTCTGCTGCTTAGCCATGAGCGAGTTACAACTGACCCTGAGTTTGTCTTGCTCTATTCAAAATTAAAAGGCGTGGCACGTTATGCGATAAGTCGCACCTAGCTAACACACGAGAGATAAAAAAAAATCCGTTTTGTATATTTTGCTTTTACTGCACGATGGCTCCCAATGTGACCACGGTCGCTCTCCATTCCTGCCTATCGCTTGCCTGCTTCCATAGGCTTCCCCCATCTCAGGTCATCCGGGTACATTTCCGCCTCAGCTTTTCTTCATCATGTTGTTTTTGAGCGTCGTCCTTGTCTCGTTCCTTCGTGGTGCGGGGTGTACGTGTTGGGTGAGCGCATCTGCTACGTCGCTACAATAAATGATCATCATATTTTACCGAAAGTTATTCCGAAAATTATTTTAACTGCTCAACACCATTGCATTTATCCGTTTTTCTCCGTGAAAAAGACTGTCTTCAGTACATGTATTTGTATTTGAATTGCATGCAATAAAGATTTAATAATAATAATAATAATAATAATAATAATAATCGAGTTTTAATGGCGTCCGTGTGCGTGCCTATTTGTTGGCATGTAAGCGATCTTATACTTACACCCCGCAGGGGCCGTTGTTCGTGTAACCATGATACATAGTTGTGACCCCCATGAGTCTAAAATCCCATAGCTTCATGTGCACGACACCTCACTTCAAACAGCCTGAAAAATTTTACAGATTCGTGACGTCATACCTATACTTATTAACTGTCTAACGACGAGCCCTCGTTCAAGACGCCTACACTATACTGCCCAGTATAGATATTGTATTTGCTACACATCCAGTTAGAGTCAGGCCCCGGAACCTTCGTCCTCCTGTTAACAAAATGATCGGTGAATCTTCTGCTAAGATGGGAGTTGAGTACTGGGTTAGATTTTTCGATATCATGATTCATGAGAGAGAGTGTGCGCGAAAGAAAGAGAGAGGGAGAGGGAGAGAGAGAGAGAGAGAGAGAGCTCTCTCTCTCGCTCATCTTCTCTCTCTCTCTCTCTCTCTCTCCTCTCTCTCTCTGCTCTCCTCTTGCTCTTCTCCTTCTCTCTCTCTGGGTCCTCTCTCTCTCTCTCGGGTGCGAGCTGCTGCGTGCGGTCTCGCTCTCCTTCTCTCCTCTCTTCTCGTTCTCTCCCTCTCTCTCCTCTCCCTCGTGCCTCCTCTCTCCTACTCTCTCCCCCGTGGGCGGCGCTCTTCACTCTCCTCTCTCCTCTCTCTCTCATCGTCTCTCTCTTCTCTCTCCGGTGACGTCTTATCCGCCACCCTTTAATATAAGCCATGCTGCGATCCTTCTAAGGATAAACGACGGAAATGCCCCTGAACTTAACTCAAAACCGTCGTAGCTTGGCCAGCGCAGTCGGTCCTAGCTGGCATCCCCGTCGAATTGCTCCGCCATTCTGTGACCAGTAAAATCGTCGGAGGACCTCACGTCTTGGGGAACTGAAGCCCGGAAAAAGAATGTCTTCATACTTCCAAAATCCACCCACGACACCAGAGCAGATGCATCAACGGTAGGCTTCGGAATCCCGTTTCGTCTGACCATTTTTTTAGAGCCGTAATATGTGCTGAGATTTCTTATATAATCAACTATATATGCTACGAAGTTGTAATTCGATCATATTAATGCGAACCCAACGCATACGTGTTTACAAGCCTACACATATATGTCGTTGAAATTGTCTGTAAAAAAAAAGTGTCCGAAAACAGACAAACAGGTTGTTTAATCGACGAGCGCACGTAATCTGACTGCGTAGCACCGACCGTTTAGGCGTTCCTAGGCAACTTGTGAGCCCGTGCAGCCAGTCTGAGGAAAAAACTGGCTTCTTTGGGTTTGATATGCTGGCTCTCTCTCTATAAATCCGCCCCCCCTCTCTCTATATCTCTACTCTCCTCTCTCCTCTCTCTTTTTCTCTCTCTCTTCCGGAACTCCTCATCTCTCTTTCTCTCTCCGGCTCTCTCTCTCTTCTCCTCTCATTTCCTCTCCTCATCTCTCCTCTCCTCTCTATCCTCGCGCGTCGGTCCTATGCTCTCTCTCGCTCTCTTTCTCCTCCTCTCTCTTCTCTCCTCTCTCTCTCTCTTTCTCCCG